TTTCTTCATAAAGGTTTTGCCTATCATTTGTGGGACTTATTCCTAGGTACCTTATATGTTTGTGCTACTATAAATGTTTACATAAAATTTCATTTCGTAAGTTTTTATTGGGGTGTATGGAAAGGCAGTTGATTTTTGTACACGTATACTGTATCTACCAATCTTTCTAACCTTCCTTATTGATTCTGATAACTTATCTGAATATACTTTTGGGTTTTCTTGATAGGCTACAGTGTCATCTGCAAATAATGACAGTTTTATTCCTTCCTTTCCAATTTGTGCCTTTTATTTATTGTTCTTGTCTTACTGTGCTGGCTGACACCTTGGTGGAGTGAAGTGCTGGCTGGGACATCTTCGTCCCTCTGCCATTTCAGAGGAAGTGCTTTCCGTGTTGCAGAGGACAACACTCCCTGTAGGCATTTTGTTTAAAAAATCCTTTATCAGGGGCCGGCCCGGTGGCGCACTGCTATAGTGCGCCGCTTGGGAAGCGCGGCGGCGCTCCCGCCGAGGGTTCAGATCCCACATACAGACCGGTTCCCGCTCACTGGCTGAGCGAGGCGCGGGAGCAACACCCAGGATTGCGATCCCGTTGCCGGTCCCAGTCCGGTACGGGGGCGACACTGAGGGTTGCAATCCGTTGCCGGACATGGAAAAAGACAAAAAAAAAAAAAAAAAAAATCCTTTATCAGGGCTGAGCCCGTGGCGCACTTGGGAGAGTGCAGCGCTGGGAGCGCAGCAGTGCTCCCGCCGCGGGTTCAGATCCTATATAGGGATGACTGGTGCACTTACAGTGCTCACTGGCTAAGCGCAGTGCGGCCGGTCTCAAAAAGGACAAAAAAAAAAAAAAAAACCTTTATCAGATTTCAAATGTTCCATTCCTAGTTTGATTTTTTAAAAAATCATGAACAGATGTTGATTTCTCTCAAGCCATCATTTTTGTGTGTATTAAGATGGTCATATGTTTTTTCTTCTTTAAACTGGTAATGCATTGAATGGTATTATATGACTTTCTAATATTACATACACATTTCCTTCTTGGGATATGCTATTTGTCATTATAAATCATCTGTTTCATACATGTCTTATTTCAGTTTGCTGGTATTTTGTTTAATATATTACATCTGTGTTCATGAATGGGTTTGCCTGGGATTTTTCTTTCTCTGTCTTTGCCTCATCTGAGTAATCAATATAAATGTGGCCTTAGAAAATAAGTGGGGGGGCCTGGACCTGTGGCTCACTCGGGGGAGTGCGGCGCTGGTAGCACTGAGGCTGCGGGTTCGGATCCTATATAGGGTTGGCCATTGTGCTCAGTGACTGAGCGTGGTGCAGAGCACACCGTGCCAAGCGTTGCGACCCCCTTACCAGTCAAAAAAAAAAAAAAGAAAAGAAAAGAAGTTGGGGCATGTTCCGTCCTTTTTTTTTTTTTTTCCTTTTTTGTCTTTTTTTTTTTCGTGACCGGCAATGGATCACAACCCTCAGTGTTGCCCCCATACCGGACCGGGGACCGGCAACGGTATCGCAACCCTCGGTGTTGCCCCCGCACCTCGCTCAGCCAATGAGCGGCCGGTCTGTATGTGGGATCCGAACCCTCGGCGGGAGCGCTGCCGCGCTTCCCAAGCGGCGCACTGTAGCAGTGCACCACCGGGCCGGCCCCTTATATGAATTTTTAAAGTTTTTGTAAGATTTAAAGTATTTGTTGTCTGAGCATTTGGTGGGACTTGCAAATAAAGCTTCTGGGGTGGTGTTCTGTTTGTGGAGAGATCTTCGGTCACTTTGTTTCTTTCATGGTTAAGAAGATATTCAGGTTTTTCTATTTCTTCTTGAGCCAACTTTGCTAAATTACTTTCGCAGAAATTTGTCCATTTCAAGTGAGCTTTCAAATTTGTTGAAATAAACTGGCTCATAATGTCCCCTTCTTAACTTACCAATGTCTGGGATATCTGTAATAATGTTCTTTTTTCATTCTTGGTCCTGATTATATATGCCTTCTCTCTTTTCTTGTTGATGCTTGTGCTGTTCCTGTCTATGCAAAAAATTGCTTTAATTTAGATCACATGGATGGAAAGTCAGTCCAAAATAGAGAAAATTCAGAATTAAGAAATTTTTAAAAAATGTACATTTTATGGTATAAACTAGGAAACAAGAGACTGGTCTAGTTTTGTCCCTGCAATAACTTGATCTTGGGTAAGTCACTTATCTGTCAAATAGGAGGACTGGGATATCTGCAGAACTGAGCAAGCTGATTATTTCTAAGATCACTCTTAACTGTAAAACTCAATAAACTCTATGACATGCTTATAGAATACACACTAGGCTCTTTGTTTCTAAGAAGAGAGCCCATCAGACCTTTTTGAAAAATGAACATGTAACAACTATTTGTAATTAGTCTGTAATCATTTTTCACATATGTGCTGCTAGGCTAGATAGTTTTGGTTTAAATAAATGGGCTAAATGTTTGCTCTAGTCATAATCTCATGTGTACTATCAGTTGGCTTCAAACCTCACACTCTTCTGTTGAGGTATACAATTTCCTTACAGCCCTGTTCTGTGATGATTGCCGCTGATTTAATATCATCAAATTAATATTGTATGTGTATACATATATATTACGAGGCAAAAGCATCATCATGTCATTAGGCTTTCTTTTGTTGAAATTTTGACACCTTCTAGGGAAAAGTATTGTTTTAAAAATAATTTAAATAAAAGATAAAAGCTTTTTTGCTATTTAAAAAAAAGCTCCTTTCAGCTCAGGAATGGAGCCAAGATTCAGCTTCAGGATCCGTGGGGTACGTCATGGGGCCTCGAAGTGGCTGAGACTCTGGCAGAGGGAGCAAGGCCAGAGAGGGTGGTAAGCCAGGGAGCACAGGGGCTCCTGGTCCTGGGGTCACCTTCATCCCCGTCTCTCAAGCTCCTCTGACTTTCAAACTCCAAACATTGTCTCCCCTGGAGATGATAGCCAATGAACATCTTCTCAGCTTTCTCAGCTTCCAGCTCTTTGTCTTTCTCCTGGCCTTTCCAGAATTCTGTTCAGGGCCATTCAAAGATTTGAGGGGAGTTTATAACTTCAGGCTCCTCACCTGCTGTGGTTCCACACTTCCCAGCATTTCCCCCTGGATTTTCAGCTGCAGTGAACCTGTGACTTCCTGTTTGAGTTCTAGCTGGCTTTTTGTCCCTCTCCAGAGCCTTCAGACAGATGTTTTTTTTTGTGTGTGTGTGTGCATATTTCATAATGCACAAAGATTCTGAAATTATTGAAAGTGTTAACTCTACCTTTTGATTTTTAATTTTTTTTTTTGGCGGTGGCTGGTATGGGGATCTGAACCCATGACCTTGGTGTTTTAAGGCTGCGCTCTAACAAAATGAGCTAACTAGACAGCCCTACCTTTTGATTTTTGAACCTATAACTATATCACCTATTCAAAAAGTGAACTTTTTTTGGCGGCTGGCCAGTATGGGGATCCAAACCCTTGACTAACAAGTGAACTATTAGAGAGTTCTGGTCAAGATGGTGGAATAGACACTCCCCAACATCACTCTCTCCCCCAAATCAATTTACAACTACAAAAATGTAACATCAGCCAAGCTGGGACTGCTGGAGCTCAGGGGAAGAGGAGGAGAGACCTACGGAGTTCATGAAGGCAGGAGAAGCCACGATGAGAGAAAGAAAATCTTCTCTGGAGCATTTCAGGCCGCAGCCACTTTAAAGCTGGAGCTGCTGAGCGCATGGAGCAGAAGCTGGCAGAAGCCGCAGCTGTGCCCTTTGGATGGAGTTGCTTGGAGGTGGCAGGGGAGAAGAGGGCCTTGGTGGCCCACAGGACAGCAAGATCACTAACGGGGTTCCTGTGGACCCACACAGGAGTGAGGAGCCAGAACAGCTGGAAAAGGGGAGCCATACAGAGGCAGGTGAGTCAATACAAGGGACTGGCGCAGGGCCCATCCCATGGGAAGTGTTTGGAGCATGGGTGTTGGGGGAGATGGGCCCACTGGGAGAACACTGGGACATAGCAAGGACAGCCAATCTGCCTCCCAATCAGCACAGGACCACTCAGAGGAGACTGGTCAGGAATGCAGAATTGCATGAGGTGCAGTTTGATGAAAAGAGTCAGGCCCCGATCTGAGTTTCTACACAACCCAGGTGCACCAGGTCTCTGGAGTGCTAGAAGTACCTATAAGGTCAACCATTAAATCCTGAGATGCACAAAAAGTCTTCCCTAGGGAAATAGCAGAAAAGCAGCAGTTTAGCTCAACCACAGAGCTCAAGTACTGGTTCCCACAGGAAGTTCCCCTGTTTTTGAAGTAAGCAAAGGACTTAGACATCACAGCCACCACACAGATGGTCTGCCAGCCACTGGAGTGCACTGACACAAGGAGAGTCACCAGCAGAGATAAAGAAAAGAAGAGGATGTCTCTCTCCACAAAGCCCATTCCAGAGTGACAGAAGAAGCATCTGCTCCCCGATAATACTGGGAGACCTGAACACACCTCTCAGCATTGGACAGGTCATCTAGGCAACAAATCAACAGAGTAACCATTACTCTTTTAGAGGGAGAGAAGAAATCTAGGGTTATCAAAGGTGGGAGGGAGAAGGGGATGGGGAGAGATTGAACAAGGGGTATAAAGAATAAATACGATTTGTAAAAATATATACTAGTAATATTGATTTGATCAAAATATGTCAACATTGAATCCCTAAAATATGCATAATCAATTACAATTCAATGAAAAGAAAAGTGAACTATTAAAACACAGCAAACAAAGAAAACTAAACATTAAGACCTACTGTAAAGGCAGATTGTTCTCAGTCATTTAAGTCAGAGGACGCCTTTTAAGTCGGGGTGTGCTCACCCGGCAGAACGTGGCCACAGGCCCCGCCCCAGTCTCCCGCCACGCCTCCTCGAGCGCTCCCGTTTCTATGGCGACGCGGCGCCAGGCCACGCAGCCCGACCACTGAGCGGACGTGCAGCAGGAGCGGCGGCAGCGGGAAAGGTGGCGGCGGCGACATGAGCGCGGCGGGGGGGGCAGCTGGGGCGCGGCCCCTCAGCTCGGCGACCCCGGGTTCCCGGGGCACTTCGCGCCCGCGCCAGCGCCCGCCCGCGAGCCACCAGTACCTGGGGTCGCACAACCCGCAGCTCGGGCACAGCGAGGCTCAGAAGCGGGTCCTGGACCTGGAGAAGAGCCTGCAGTTCCTGCAGCAGCAGCACTCGGAGACGCTGGTCAAGCTCCACGAGGAGATCGAGCACCTGAAGCGGGAGAACAAGGGTGAGTCCGGGGTCCGGGTCCGAGAGAGACGCGGCCCTGACTCCCCTGGTGCCCTGAAACAGACACACACACAGCGCATTAACTCCAGAACACGCTTGGGCTTTCGGGAGGACACAGGGCAGCAAGCCGCGCACGGGATTCTGCCACCTGGGCTCGTTCCCCTGCCTCGGGCCAGAAATCCTGGCAGTCGGGGGTAGTGTCCTTCCTGTCCACCCATCCCCCCTGGGGCGCCATTTCAGACGTTCACCCCTGCCAGCCCTCTCCTCTCTAGGCAGGATCAGGCCCACCTCATTGTTAAAAAAAAACTTTTTGTAGAAGTCAAACATACCGAAGAAAGTACAAGTGTACAGTTCAGTGACTCACAAACTGCACACTCCCAGGTCAAGGGCAGACAAGTGGGCCACTACCCCGGACCCCTCTGTCCTCTGCCCACAAGGCTCCTCAGGGAGGGACTTCCCAACTTTGCACCTCCGCCCCGTTTTCCCCCGCCCCCCGCCGTGGGCCATGCCTGGCGCAGAACTCTGTTCCTCACTGCAGCCTGACAAAGAGGCCTGCCTGTTTCTCCCTCCCACCTTTCTGGTGCTGCCTTCACCTGGAGTGCCAACCGTTCAATCACTGGGCATCTATTTTATCAGTCCCCCCTCTCCAGGCCTTCTTGAGTCTCACTCCAGTTCCTGATGCCCCGGGCACCACTTGATCACACACTGGCCACGCTCGCTCATCCAGACAGGAGCTGCTGGAAGGCTGGGTCATCCCGACTCACCTCTGTACCTCTAGAGCCCAGGCTGGCAGAGTGGGCATCCTGTGCACATCTGGGAGGGGGGGAATGACAGGCTGAGTGTCTAGGTGGGGCTCTGCATAGGACTCTCAGGGCTCAGCAGGGAGGGGTGGGCAGAGCAGGCCAAGCTGCTTCTCAGAGTGGCTGTGGCTTGGAAAATGACGAGGGGAGCATTGCTTGCTTTCAGATCTCCACTACAAGCTAATAATGAATCAGAAGCCACAGAAGAAAGGTAAGACTGAGGCCCTTGGGTGGCTGATGGGAATTACCGCCAGCCAGAGCAGCCTTTCCAGACTGTTCATGCTCACTGGTTTCACTGGCTCCTGTGTGCTCAGTGGGGACGGGTTCTGAGGGACATGGAGAAATGCCATTGCCCCCAGCCATGGCTGGGTGGCTTTATGCACTGAAGCACAGCAGGTGCTGCTCTCAGGGAGCCTAAGACCTGAGGTCTGTGCAGTAGGGACAGTGCACAGGGCAGCTGGGTGGGGGTAGGGGGCCATCCAGACCCTCCCTCATCTGAGCAGAGCTCTTGCAATGGGAGGTGGTCCTGGAATAGCCCCTTGCCCTCCTGGGTCTCATTGCCCTGGTGGGTTCTTTCATCAGATTGCTGCTACAGCCGGTCCCAGGCTCCCAGCCCTGTGCCTCTAGATTGCTTGTGCCCTAGGACAGGTGGCTCTGGGCCCACTCCTTCTGGGGATCCTTCCTGCCATTTCTACAGCAACTGTGGAGACTGGGAATGGGGAAGGAAGTAGAGACTCAGAGACCTGCAGCCACTTGTCCAAGACACTTCCTAATCCCAGTGGTGACCCACTCACTTTGCCTGTCCCTAGCCCAGCCCAGGGATGCTGCTGGGATTGAGTTTTTGGGCTCACTATTGCACTTACCTTTGGGGCCAGGTCTATCAGGAGGTGCTCTGACTAGTGAATGGTACCAGACTGGGAATGTCCCAGACCAGGTGATGTCCAGGGCTCTCTCTTCCTGGGAGACATGTGGAGAATGGGATGGTGAGAGGACCCTTCTGCAAGGTGAAGTAGTCCCAGTGAGCTGTTGTGAGCAAAGCGTGGCTTACGTTAGTGGCCTCAGCCCTGCAGTGGCTGGGAACCCTGACAGGACACTGGGAGAGGCCGTCCCCTCATTCAGGACCTGCTGCTTCTTTGATTCCATGTGTCCCTGCTTTCTGGATTGGGGTGACAAAGAGAACCTTTCTGGTGGCCTCTGCTCCCTTGAGCGCTCAGCTGGGTCTGGGGCTGCCTCAACGGAGTGTGAGGTACAGCAGGGAGGACACAGCCCTGCCAGGCTGGGGGTGGACTTTATGAGATTGCACAGTGCCAGGGCCTGCAAAGGCCAGGCAGTGGCACAGGCGGGCTCATGGGTGGAAGCCACTGCCATCTTGGTCCAACCCCTGCGCATTCTCCTGCAGGCAGCCTCTCCACTTCAAGCTTTCAGTCCATCAAGTCCATTTCGAACTCGACGGTGTCAGGTGAGCGGGCCAGTATCCTCCGTGTGCTCAGAGGAAGGCAAGTGTTCTGCTGGGATCCTAGGCCTGGGTGGCCAGCTAGGGGTACTGACAAGGGAACTGAAGGCCCACAGTGGCCCTATTGGGAAGACCTGGGGACAGTACCTGTGGATTTGGGGTTGGGTTGAGGAAGCAGCTGAAGGGAGCTAAGGAGCCCTGGTGCCCAACAAGCCGAAACCAGGAGGGGGCTTAGGTGGGGCAGGACAGGATTATGGGCCGGCCAGAGGGAGGTCTTGAGGTGAGGCTACAAAAGCAGGACATGGCCTGGCTGTCAATGTGGGCAGTAAGGTCCCACAGCAGGCCCACCCCGTGGTGGGGCAGCAAGCAGACAGGCTCACAGACGAAGGGGCCTCTGAGCACCCACGAGACTCCCTGGGTGGTCTTCCAGGCAGAAGCCCTTCTTGGCCTGTCCCCCAAGCAGGAAAGCTGCAAGTGGGATGGCCCTGCCCATGGATCTCTGTGCTCATGGAATCTTTTGCAGATCAAGGGGATCTCTTCTCCCCCCTCAGCCTCCTCCAAGAAGCTGGGCATCCTCACCAGCAGGGTGGGCCTTGTCCCTGGAGAGTAAACCCAAGGCTGGGTCCCAGGCCTCTCATTCAGTTTCCTTTTACCCAAAATGGGAGCCAACTTCCACTGTTGATTGTTCTAGAGCATTCATCAGGCACTACACACAGGCTTCACCCTCAGAGGAGGAAACTGAGGCAGGAGCAGGGGCTTCTTGGGTGCATGCAGCCCATCTGGGAGGACTTGGGCTGCAGCTGTTGATGCCTGCAGTGACTGGCCCTGTCGGGTCTGACCTGCAGCCAGCTCTCAAAACAAGGCCAGACCTCAGCCCAGCTCCTTCAAGAAGCAAGACTTGAAAGCTGACGTCCCCCAGAAAACAGACCTGGAGGAAGAGCCCCTTAGTGCTGCCCTGTTTCACCACAGCAAGCTGGACAGAGTCCCTGGGGCACAGAGGCAGGCCAAGTAAGGCTCACCTACACCCCATAGGCCCCAGCGTTGCATTTCATAGGTTTCCACCCTGGAACCAGCACACTGGTTTGCCACTCACACCATGGGCCTGTCTCCAGTGTGAACTGAGGCGCATGGAAGCAGACAACTAGGCTCTGACTGCCCATCTGGTGGGCGCTAACTTCCTCCCCTTTCCTGGGGTGCCTGCAGGGTCCCGGTGCTGACATGAGCCCACAAGAGGGACCTGTAGCCCCTAAATCATTTTTTTCTCAGAGAAGAAAAAGTAATTTGGCCTCCAAATTAGTTTGCTTTTAAACCAAGAAAACCAGTGAGTCGGGTTCCTGGGCCTGATCAGAAGGGAGCTGGTTGGGCGCCTGCTGCTCTGGCTGCAGCCTGCCTTTGGAAGGCACTGAGCCAGCAGGACAGAGCAGGCTCAGGTGGCCCCCGCATTTCTGGGATTTCCCCGGGACGTCACAGAGTGCAAACCTTGGGTAGTGCAACCAGCAGGACCTGTGTCTCTGCGTAATCCTAAGATTCCTCTGAGACCAGCCTTAAAGCGAGAAGCCCCGTTGGGTGTGGGATTAGGACCAACAGCAGCCTGGCAGATAGCTGGTCACTCCCTGAACCACATCTGACCCTCAGTGCACCTTGAGAGGGGAGGAAGAGGTGGGCCCAGGTCACAGCTGGCTCCAGAGACCCTCCACCTGGCACCCAGAGCAGAAGGGAGCCAGGACCCTGTGGAAGAAAGCTGTGTAGATGGGCCTCTTCCCCATACTGGCCCCACATTGGCCTGGGGAGGGGTGGTGGTGAGTAGGCAGACCAATCCGGGCAGGTCACCTCTGGGCTGCTGCAGTGATTGTTTCAGAGACGAGGAAACAGAGACCTCTAATCCAGGAGCTGCCTCGGTGGGGGGCAGCCAGGTGCCAGGAGCACCTCCATCAGCAAGCTTGCCCCTGCACCTGCGCAAGCCCACCACGCTGCAGCAGTGCGAGGTGGTCATCCGCCAGCTGTGGAACGCCAACCTCCTGCAGGCCCAAGAGGTAAGGCCCTGGGCGGTTGGGGCAGCCCAGTGCCTCTGCAGGCCCCTCCATGCCTCTTCTCCCTGCCTTTCAGCTGCAGCACCTCAAGTCCCTCCTGGAAGGGAACCAAAGGCCCAAGCCTGCCCCCGAGGAGACTGGGCCCAGCTTTCCCAAGTGAGTGCCCCGGCGCCCACCCTAACCCAGCAGGGCCTGGTCATCTGGGACTCACTGCTGACTCTTCCTTCACCCAGGGACCAGGAGGCCATGCAGTTACCCAAGGTTGCCAACAAGGGACTCTCTAAGAAATGGTGAGTCCCACTGGCCCAGGGAGAGTGGGGCAGCCCACAGCCATGTGCCTGCAGAGAGGAAGGTGGGCCGTGGCCTCATTGGGTGCTGGTTAGGGCTGGGCAAGCCTCACTCTCAGCAGTCTCCACTCCTGAGGCTACTTGCCATGACTATCCCTCTACCTGCCCCAGCCTGATTCTGAGCCCAGTGCCTATGGCGGAGCGCTCCATCCTGCCTGCGCTGAAGCGGAGCCTGAAGAGCAACTTTGCTGAGCGGCAGAAAAGGCTGCAGGTGGTACAGAGCCGGCGCCTGCACCGCTCGGTGCTCTGAACCCTGCTGGACCGCCATGTGGCTCGGCAGTGGCAACCAGCTCTCTCTATAGCATTACAAGAGTTCTAATACTTTTAAGCCAAGCTAAATTCTGAGATAAACAATATTGGACAGATAAAGTACTTGATCTCAAAATTGAGAAACTGTTTATTTTCTTGCTATTATTTCTATTCTGCATTTACACAGAAGCACATGAAATAAGTATTAACTCTACTTGTTGAAGACTGAAAATAAAGCTTGTTTCTCCAAGTCATGAGTCTCATTCCTCACTAGTCATCAGATGTCCCTTCTCAGCCATCTGTCCCTAACCCAGCTCCCTGCTGGTCCGGAAGGGACCTGAGAGTCTTATTCATCCCAGATGTGGCAGCTGCCCTGGAAGAGAAGTGCTGGCAAAACCACACACACCCTTCCTGGTTCCCATGGCTAGGCTGGGAGATGCCTTACAGGCACATGGTCACTCTGGGTCTCCTGTGCAGACTAGACACTCGTTGGGAAAGAGTGCTGTCCTCTACTGCCTCGACACTCAACACTGCTGGCAAGTGATCAGGCCAAGACAGCCGTCCTCCTTGGAGAGCCACAGCATGGGAGAAGCATCCTCTTCAGAACGCTGTAGCCCCTACCCTCATGACGGCCCACACCTAAGCCATGCCACGCTTAAGCATCAGAGCATCTACCTCCATTGACTGGGGTGGCCAGCTTAGTGCCCACCCTTTCTGGGCAGCAAGTCCTCCCAGCCCCGCTGCCCAATTCCTTGGCATTAATCTCAGCCTCTTTCTACTTCAGGGAGCAGGAACTTTGCGGGGAACCCGGGGGATGAACCATGTCAGATGAGGGGAGCTAAGGTCTGGGGTGTCCAGAGCCAGACGGGACACTGTCACCTCCAAAGTGACAGCATCCCACACTCAGAGAAGGGGATGCAGGGATGTACTGACAAACACAGGAATAATAAATTTATTATAAGAACCACAGATGACAGGGTAGTGCACATACAAAAGGGGGGACTTCTCGTCACCAGAGGGCTGCCGGCCAACGCCCAATCATGTGGAGGCGCTGTGTGGCCATGTCCCGGTAGGGAGCCTGCATTCTCTGTAGTGGCGCAGAATATTGGTGCTCTGAGGATGCTGGGTCCTGAGGACAGTGCCCGGCTGGTCACTCTTCATCCTTCACAGCAGGGACATGGCACCCTGATCGGAGAATGGCACAAAGGTGCCAGGGACAGGATCTTCAGACGCCCTGCTCCCTGGGCACTCCCACAGTGCTGAGCAGGAACGCCATGAGGTCTGAGGCCCAGCTGGTGGCAGGAGACCTGAAGCCACTCACATGCCAGCCTTCCCTGCAAGATGCAGCCTGTGCCCGGAACCCAGGAGCTTCCCTGTGGTATGCCCTACATGCCAAAAGTGGCACAGCCTAAACCCAAAACCATGATCAGATAATTGTGTGTGTGTTTGAAGGGTTTCCTATGTGCTCCATGATCTCATATGGAAATGAGCAGAAGTGTTTCCTAGCACACACACAAGATGCTCTAGCAGGACCCTGAGTCTCCCAAACACTGCTGAGAATGGACACAGGCCCTGCAGAGGCTGTGGGGAGGACTTCCTGAGGGGTGGGGGCCCAGGGTGCTGTCTGACTCCCTGGAGGAAATTGCATGGAGAATCTTCTCTAAGACAACGGCCAACCCCCCCACGCAGTCAGCTCCACAGACACCTGTCCCAGGTTCTGTACAAGTATGGGAAAATGTTTGGCAGGTCCCCAAGGCAGAAGATAAAAGCAGGAAAGCTAACCTAACCCCAGGCTTTCTTAGGAAGCCAACACCTAGAAGTGTCCAATAGGAGGCAGTATGTCCACAGCCCCGATAAAGCTGTTGGCTGTCCCTGCTGGCTGGGCTAGGCGGCCGAGAGGCAGGCCTGGTGGATGCTCTGTGCCCAGGTGTTGAGCAGGGCCGTGACCGAGTGCTTGTCAGGGAGCTGCAGCAGCCTTGAGGTCATGCACCGGTGCACCGACTGCAGGAAGGGGTTGGCGTCTGCAACAGAGCAGCAGGCCCTGAGCACCATGCCCTCCATGAGGCAGTCAGCCTGCACCCAAGCAAGCAACTCTCTGGAAAAGGGCAACCCCTAGGCACGTGGCTGGTGTGCCAGGATGTGATCCATACACTGCCCAGCACTTGGACTTGTTCCCAGGAGCTGTGGGCTGAGCCCTAACCTCCCAGAGGACCCAGTCCTGGCTGGCCCTGCTGTGTCCAGCTCTGAGCTTCAGAAGGGCTGTCCCTTATCAACAGGGCTCTCTCCAGAGCCATGTCACCCAGATGGGTCCCCATAAGCCTAAGCTCCTGGCGGTGCTGCCACGTCAGCCCTGCAGAGCTCCCCAGTGGCTGCTGGGAGCACTGGAACTGTCCTTGAGCCATGGGCTCACTCACCCCTCACTCACTGAACATGGCTGCCCTGGAGCTGCAGGATGGAGGGTGAAGGGACTCAATGAGGGGCAGAGACTCCTCTCACTAGATGACCTACTCTTGTCTGTGCAGGGGGAGCAAGAAGAGGAGAGGGAGTGGCCTCGGCTGGGGGGACGGGAGGGGGAACATGGAGGCTGTCCCTGCTGCACAGGAAACTCTGGTTGCCCAGAGCTGACCCCTGCCTATCCTGGGCCCCCAGATGGCTTCCCTCAGTTTACCCACCATACTGCCACTGCCGGTCGATCCACAGAGGGCTCTGGGCAGGGTAGTCAGCGGGCACACTGAGCTCCAGTGGCGGTACACTCGGGAGGTCCTTGTCATCTGCAACAAACAAGGCTATACCTGTGACTTGGCCCAAATCCTACCCTGCCCTGTTTCACAGCCCTGCTCCTGAACAGGCTCTTTATAGCCTGGAAGGTTCTGGTGAGGCTTGCTGCAAAGCCTGGATTCTCTCGGGTCCCCAAACGCAGAGCCAGGGAGTGTCCTGTGTAGGTGGATGCCCCAGGGTCCTGCCCATCGTCTCCCCAGGGCCTGAGGCAGGTAGAGTCACATCTTTGTCAGGGAGGCAAGAGTGCATGAGCTAAGCCTCGGGGCAAGGGGCTGAGGCATGGCTAGGATGCCCTGGGCCAGCCCTCGGTATGAGCCTCATTCCAGGTATGTGAGGATCAGGGAGTGAGGACAGAGGGCAGCTTAGCAGGGCCAAGTGATGCAGGGCAGGTGGGGGCGGCAGGGGGAGCAGGCTTGGTAGTAGTAGGTGTGCGTAGTAGGCTTGGGCATGTGGGCAGCAGAGCCTCAGGGCTACGGTTCAGGGATCGCTCTCCAATGCCAGCCCCTCCCTCCTGGGCCACTCACCCAGCTTGCATATCAGGTGGACGGTGCCATTGTTACTGCAGTGAGAAGGGTCCAAGTTTACCAGGAATTTGGGATCTAATCTGGCCACCTCCCCTTGTAGCACGTTGGGGATGCTCTGCCGCTCATCCTCCTCAAACTTGCGCTTCCGGGTGCACAATACAGGTGCCCTGAGGAGGAGGCCATGATGACCACACTGGCCACACATGGCCCACAGCCTGCTGTCCACTGCAAGGCCCAGCCCTGGCTGTACGTACGTGATGGGTGGGCCATGGATGGCCGTCATGGCTGGCACAAACGTGCGGTACAGGGAATGGTTGAAGACAGGTGAGCGGATATTGGCCAGGACTGCATCCAGGAGCGGTTGGCACAGGTACTGTTGCTTGGTTGGTGGCACCGGGGGCGGTGGAGGCGTGGGCTGGGTACAGGATGGGTGGGGTCAGCACTTGGGGCTGGCAGCCTCACCATACCTAGGAAGCCTTCCAGACCCTAAGGCCCTCATCCTCACTAATAGTCAGATGTCTGAGGCTTCTCCACAATCTCCACCCCGTGTAGACAATGCTGGCTGACCTCAGACTCAATCCCCCACCCCCACAGCCTTGCTCCCACTTAGGTCCCCTCTGTCCAGGGCAAGGCTTTGTGATGGGCTGGCAGACGCAGGGTGGCAGAAGCACCTGTGGGGCTGTGACTTCTCCCAAGTTCCTACCCCCACAGCAGACTCCACCTAAAAGAAACCTCCTGGGCAGGCCCAGTCCCAGGCTGGGCGATGTGCCCCATGCAACAGCCCCTGACCAGGAAGACTTCTTCTGGCGTGTTCTCAGGAGCTGTAGGCTGAGCCTTGGCCTTCCCAGAGATGCCTGGCACTCCACTCACCACTGCCATGTCATTCTTGAGTTTCTCCAGGGCAATCTCACATTTCTGCAGGGTCTTCAGGGGACACCTGTGGGGAAAGGGAATGTGGGCTGTCCCTCCATGTTGGAGGGCCAGGGGAACTGGTGGCTGTCAGGTGCTGATCCTGACCACTGCTTGCCTGGTCTCCTGGGGCCTTGGCCATCAGAGGCCCCTGCCGGAACCTCAGCCAGTCAACCAGCAGAACAAGGCAGTGCAACGGTCAAGGAGAGGGACAGAGGCCAGGCCCCTAACCAGGCTGGGCAGGCCTCAGTTTCATCTAGGCCTGTTCCTGCTCTCCTTGGCCCTATAATCCCAATGAAGGATCAACCCAAGAGGGCCTAGAGAGCCGTCCAGCTCTGACAGGCCCCTGTTCAGCAGTGACCGGCATTCTACTAGATAGCTGAACAGGAAAAACCTTCTAGAAGGGAGGTATAGTCTGAGCAGAGGTGCCAAGATGAGGGGGAAGTAACACAAAGGACCGTCCATGTGCAGTTCTGTGATGCTGCCTAGGCTTGCCGCTCTTAGCAGCCCATGGCTGGTGGGCAGGGGAAGGAGCCAAGAACCTGGCAGGCCACTGCCTTCCATGTGCTTCTTGTAGGAACCATTTTGTTTCATTTTCACAGCTGGCCTTTCTGCAAATGGGGTAACTGAGACACAGTTGCCTGCCCAAGGTCACCACAAGTCAGGGGCAGAGCTGAAGGTCAGACTGAGGCCCACCATGGCCAGGTGATGGTGAAGCCACTGCAAGCCAGGACCCTGCCAGTGGCCTGATGAGGCCTGGAGTAGGGAAAAGCTGGGCACAGGCAAAGGTGAAGTCTAGGTTTGAAGCCCCAGCACACACACCTGAGCGGAGCCTCCAGGGCCTCTGGCTAGGGCCCAAAGAGCTGCCAGGCCCCTTCACTATACCCACATTGACACCAAGCACCCATCCAAGGCTGGGCCAGCCAAGCCCCTGGTGACCCTCCATAAGCCATGGATGCAGCAATGTCCTTCCCCAGGAACCTGGGGGCAAATCTCACCGCTTAGAGGGGTCGGTCAGAATGTCCAGAAGGCTCTTCATCTTACTCAAATCCTTTTTCCTGTCTGAGATAAAAGAGGGGACACTGAGACCCAGGCCCTGGGATGCCATTAGGGCTCCTACCCCCACCCGGTCCTGGTGCCCACCTTCATTCTTGTCGATCTTGTTGATCATGCGGCGCAGGGGCTCAATGTACTTGGACAGCTGCTTCAGCTTGTCCAGGTACTGTTGCTCCTCGGCCTGGCTGGAGCTGGCTGGGCTCATGACGGAGCTGGGGTTTACTGCAGGACACAGCCGGGTGAGGCCTCGGCCCCACTCACAGGGATGGACCTCTCAAACCCTCCGGTGGGGTGCTCAGCTCTGAGGGGTCCCAAGAGCTTGCGTGCCCATGGAGCTGAGGCCTTGTGAAGGTGAGGGGCAACTCTCGGCCCCTCAACTCTTAGGGCCACGTACAGATCCCACAGGGGGGCTCAGTACATCAGGCCTCACCCACTCCAGCCCCAGACTTGACTTACCAGGGGTGTTTAAAGGTCCAGGTGAGGGGACGCTGAAGTTCTGTGGGGTGCGCGCTGTCACTGGGCTCTGGGAAGGCTGTGGGGAGGGGCTGGGCAGGAAGCTACTAGGGGATGGGGCAGGACCAGAGCTGCAGCCAAGTGAAAGGAAGCAGGTCTGAGGTGGGGCCCTCAGGTAGGGCCTATGCCAAACACAGGTGGGGAGGGACCCCCCCCCCCACAGGCCTACCTGACATTGGAGTTGGGCTGTGAGCTGGGCTGGCCGGGTTGTGGGGATGGCTGTGGGGGAGGTGGCATTGACTGCGGGGTCTGCACCTGCTGGCTGGGCGATGGTGAGGACAGCATGGGGAGGCTGCTCTGACCGACCTGGAAGTGGAGAGGTTCAGCCAGCTCGCTGCCACACGTGCCTGCCCGCCTCCATGCCACTTGCCCAGCACCATGGCATGCACAAGCCCGTGCTCTCTGACAGCCTCCCCACACCCTGTCTTCTTTCAGATGACACCTGGTACACCCCCGGGCACACAACCCTGCATATGGTGACTGTGGGGCTGTCACATCTGGCCACCTCCCCTTGCAGCACGTTGGGGATGCTCTGCCAGAGTGTCATGGCAGGAAGGCCAGGTGGGACAGCCTGGGCTCCTCAGAGGGGGGCCATGAGGACCACGGGCTTCTGGGCTAGAACAGGCCATGGCTGTGCCCTCCTTCTCGGCTGTGGGAGTGTGAGGAGAGTGGCCTAGGAAGGTGAAGGCCCTCGCTGCCACCAGCTTGGCCTTTCCTGCCATGTCTTGCCTGGCCTGTGACGCTCTCCTCTGTGCATCAGTAAGGACTCTGCTCTGCCGACTGGTGGGACCATCTTCCTGCAAGCTTCTACAATCCCCATCAGCCTCCCAGGCTGACTGCACTGAGGACAAGTCCAGCCACACAAATCCAGCCTGCCTGATAGGTGCAGGTGGCCCTTCCCCACCTGACCAGCTGCAGGTCAGAGGGATAACCGTGTCTTACACTGTGTCCCACCTGGACCTGCTTAGTTGGAGTGAGACAGCCTGAGGAGCTACATGCATACCCACAGTGGCACCTGTGTCAGCCCTCACCAGTGCCCCTGGCTTTAACCAGTGACCCCGATTGGGTTGGCAGAACCCACTGGGAAAGGTGAGTGACTCAGTGTCACAGACGGCTGGGCTCAGAGTTTGGTTCTGCCACGCAGGTGTATGCACCCGGAACTCCAGGGGCCTGGCCCTTGTCTGCAGAGTGGGGCTGCTCTCTGCTCCCCAGTCCTCGATGGGAACAACACAAATGGGGTCAACTGCACCATTGTCAGCACCAGGGACACCACGATCTTCATCTTTGAACTCCAAGGGATGAAACCACAGTGCCCAAGCATCAGAGAAAAGGACGTGTGGAATACCCACCCCTTCTAGGGAAGGTGCACAAATGGCAGTTCCAGATGGGGAGGATGGCTGCCTGCCAGCCCTGGTGCTAGCCTCCCCTGGAAGGAGCCTCAGCAGAGAGAGTGCCTCGCCCAGTGCTGGTGACAGAGGCATCAAGGCCTGGCCCCTCACCACATGGGACCACCCTGAAGGCCCTGTCAGCTTCAGAGGCCCTTGGTAGCATCTCCCACACTCCAGTCATGCTGAGCATCTTTCCTTATGGCTTCCTGGGAGCCCAGCCCACACACCCTTGCCCAGCTACTGAACCATCCAGTTCAGACTGGCTCAAGTGCTTCCTCCACTGCACTCTGGACAGTGACACCTGTCCAAGGCCATGGCCTCATGCCTCCCTCCCACATGTGCCTCTGCCACAGCACTGTGAGTACTGAGTTAGGATTTCTCTGAGTAGGTTGCTGCTTTCTCAGCTCTTTGAATGGGAAACAGGCCCAGCTCCCGCTGGGGAACAGGACGCTTGCAGGAAGGGCTTGGGGCCCTGCCCTTTCCTTAGTACCACCTGCACTGAACTCACAGAGTGAATGTTCCCTCTGTCTTCGGCTGCCCTACCTCTTCCCACTGGGTGTGCCAGAAGTGCTGCACAGGATGCCAGGGGGAGGCTACCTCCTGGGCCACATGCGCAGGAGTGGTGGGGGCACTGAGGCACAGGGTGCCACCCATATCATGGCACTTCCCACAGAGCTGGGTCAGAGGCTCCAAACCAAAGCCACTGGTCCAGTGAGACATCAACAGATGGAACAGACTGTTTCCACCACTTTGTGACCAAGACACTCCTGGCAGGGCAAAGGAGGGACAAGAGTGCACAGTGGAGCAAAATTGTTCAAGGTGGTTCACGTTGATGTTAGCAAAGTCAGAAACGGGGACTGGACCGATTTTGTTTGTAAAATGCTGAGTTGAACAGATGCAGGTTTCTCCTATGCAGATCCTGTGTATTCACGGTGCTGGAGTGTACTGAGTCCTGGGAGGCCAGCATGGGTGGTGTGAAAACATGCTCTAGAAGCAACCCAGGTGGCTAACAAAATCCCAGGACCAAAAGTTCCACAGAGAATGACAGATGGTGCAGAGGAGTGAGCAGGAAGCACAGGCCCGGGGGGCCCCAAAGTCAGCCTGGTCCTGTCAGCACGAACCCCTCACTGAAGGGGTTCCCCTCCCTAAAGCCCCGCCCCCAGGACCCCTCTCCCTTTCCCTGGCCTGTGCCTGACCTGCTGCTGCTCTCCGCCTGTGCTCCTGGAAGCTGCCTGAGCTTACTCCACTTCCTGCCCAAAGGTCAACCCCCCTCACCTCACCTCTCCCTGACCGCCCCACCTGCCCCAGGGTGATGCCTCAGCCTCAGCCTCTGCTCGAGCAGGTGTCCCTTCTAGGAGACGGTCAGTTCTGTCTGTAGCCTAAAGCTTGGTGCTTCTCTGGGAGACAAGGCACCGCGGAGTGTCATGGCTGGGCATGGGCCACTGCACAGCTCACATTCCCATCTGAATGGTTAAAAAGGCCCCCTCAGCACTCAGACCACAGGGAAAGAGGCACATGCTGCCGACACCCTCTGGTCTCAGTGAGGGCAGGGTAGGGTTCCACTGTCTAAGACACAGTGAAGAGGGGTGGGAGGCCAGTGGCCAGAGAAGCCTCCAGGGGAGGCAGAACAGCCAGGCCCAGCCCAGGGGGTCACCTGCTCGGTTGGGGAGGACGAGGGCCTCTCACTCCTGTCTCCAGAAGGCCCTTCCCTCCAGTGACCCCGGTGTGGGGAGTATATGCAGCGTGCTGGGCACAGCAGCTTCTCTCTCTGTGACTCCTCTGTCACTTCTAGGCAGAGAGTCCCCACCATGACCTGTCCTTGATGTACCTAGGAGCTGGCCCCCAAAGTGCCTTGATTCTCCTCTCACCTAATGGAACCTGAAATCTTCCTCCTAAACACCCTCCAGGGTCCAGGTTCCTTGGCTGGCCAGGCTGGGCACGCTGGCCTGCTCAGGGTTGAGGCCTTCCCCACCTAGGCCTGGGCAGCTGGTCTGCCCCTCTGAATCTGAGCAAACCTCACTGGGGCTGGGTGCCCCACAAAAAGCCCCAGCACCTGTGCTTCGGCCCCTGTGTCAGTGGTCTCACAGGTTGAATCTGTGGGGCCACCAGGTACCCACCCAACACATGGGTCCTTCTTGGCTCTTTAGCTGCTCCAGAGTGGGGCAGCATGGCCAGCAGACCCCAGAGGATGGGAGCTGGTTAGTCGAAGTCCCAAATACCAAGTAACCCCAGACACACCTGGGACAGAGAGCAGCCCATAAATACCCAAGTCAGGGCAGAACTAGTCTAGTGAGACAGCCAGCGAGGCGAGAAAGCCATTTCCCAGCTTCAGGCTTATGCCAGGCCTGGCCTTAGAGCAGAGAAGGGAGAGTTGGGCAGTGTTGCTCCACAGTGAGGGAGTGAGCCAGTGTGGCAAAGTGGTGAGGATCCAGGGGAACGCTGTTTCACGTGCTTTTGGGTTGTGTGCTGCCAGTGGCCTAGGTGTTGGTCAGTCACAGCTGCCAGCAAAAGCCACAGGATGAGCTCCTGAGTGCCTGCCACCTACACGTGAGAACATGGGGACTCAAAGGGAGGTGACTTGCTCAAGATCACACAACTTGAGTGTGGCGGGGGTGCCCCGGCACACTAAATGTCAACATCTCAGCAACAGTCTGTGTTCCTGGGAGAGGTACCCTGCCTGACAGCCAGACAGCCTGCACAGGGAGGCCCCTCCCAGGCCCCAGCATGAGGGAGGCAATGGGGGCTGCTTAGAGAGGCCAGAGATCAGAAGGCAGGGAGGATGCAGACAGAGAGTGGGTGACAACAGGAGGTGGGAGGACAGAAAGGAGCAAAGTGGCCATACCGTAGGGGCAGCAGAGCAGATAGGCTGGTAGAGGGAGCTTCATCCTACATAGAAACCTCAGGAAAGGCTTGGTAGCACCAAGCCTGATCTCAAGATCACCCATGCCGTCCGACCTACCCGGAACTGCCCCTTTCTCCCATCCCCAGCACTCAGTGTCCCCTGGAGTCACCCCCCAGAGCACAGCAGAACATGGGTCCCATTGTGGCACCATCTGCTTACACCCAACAAAGGAAAGTGGTGGGCACTGTATCCAGCACAGAATCCTGCTTTGTCACGGTTGTTCGGGTCCATGTAGTGTCTCCACCATGACACAAAGATGCAGCCACAGGACATCAGGACTGAGATGGGGGCTAGGAGGGAGGCTGGGATACGAGAGCCCTGTCTCAAGAAGGGACGACAGAACACTTACATTTCCACTCTATATTCTACCTGTTTTCTTGGACTCAATTTGCGGCCACAAGGAAAGAACAAAACCAGACAGGCAATGAGGATGCTGAATGGCGTCCTACTGAGGGCAGGTGCAGGTGGCTGGGGGAAGACAGCAGCCACAAGACGCAGCACATGGCCATGTACAGGCCGGGAGGTTCCAGTTGGATTCACTGCTGGATCAACAACGGGCCTCCTCCCAGCTAGGGTTTAAAGATACATTCCTAGGATGAGATAGATTAGAAAGAAGCTGACACAAAAGCAGCTACATACCATTTCTGGAACCAGCTCGTGGCCAGATGAATGCCCTTGGTGTGTGGGGCCCAGGGCGCCCTCTGAGGCCTCTGGATGTGGGTCAGGGCTCCTCCATCCCCAAGCCCTCCACTGGCTTTTCTCCCTTCTCTAAGTGTTTACAGGGTCTCCTTCCTCTCAGCTGGCGAGATGAATGAGTCTGCTTTAAATATAAACCTAAACAAAACCAGAACCTTGCCCAAGTTCTGTGCCTTCCTTCCTCTTTCCAGAAACCCTCTGGCTTTAGTTAACTGCTGGGACAAGGAGTATTTTCTACATGCTGCTATACTTGTCCTCAGCACATGACCCCAAAGCTTCATGGCACGCCACCTCACCACCACCACTGATGGGTGGAACCTGGGGAATAAATCTGCATGCAGTTTCTCCAGCGAAGGCTCTCATTCACCCCATGAAACGCGACAAGGATGAACCAGAGTTCTCCATGACATTTACTTCAGACACTAACTATATTTTGCCTTCATCTAATTTTTTATCTTTCCTCCCCTCCACCTAATTTCCTTGCCTTTTAGATTGGGAGGTGTGACAGATAGTAAGCAAGACCTATTTAGCTGGCACAACTCGGAGATGGACTTGATGTGGAGGGGAGGGAGAGAAGGAGTAGGCTTGGGGTGGGTAGCAGTGAGGGAGGGGTGCCTTTGAGAAACCCAGGTGGACTTCAGCAGCTGGGTGTATGGGGAGTGGCCATTCCATTACAGAGCATGGGCAGGGCAAGGCAAGGCCTAAGGCAGAACCTGGCGCTGCAGGGGAGTGTGGGAGGCCCAGTCAACCAGTAGGAGGGGCAAGGCCATCAACTAAGTAGGAAGAGGGGTTTCCAGAAGAATCCTGCTGGGAGGCCAAGGTATATGGGCTGAAACTTTGAAGCCTGGGCTGAGGGTTTCATTTGAGCCCTTGATTCTCAACACAGCAGCTCCCTGGGGAAAAAGGAGCTGTGGTACCTCCTGCCCGTCTGCCTCATGGGGCTGCTGGGGAACTACCCGAGGATGCTCAGCTACTAAATGCTTGAACTATGACTGGCTTCAGTGACAATGAATGAGATTCTGCACAAGAACTTAGCTTGAGGCCTGGTAGGTACCACAGACTCAAAATGTTGGGAATGTCTTTGCTTTCAAAAAAATCAGTCCTACTTGCTGCTGCTAAAGTCATTCCACCCCCAACCCCCCAACCCAACTTCTTCTCTGACCTCTGTGAATTCAATGGATTCTGAGCTAGGGGCTATGGAAGAGGAGAACAAACAGCTCTAGCTCCCAGAGCTGAGCATCCAAAGTGACCCGGGCATGGAGACATGCACTCTCAACGTGTGAGCAGTGGCCTGGGCGGGACTCAGCCCTGAAACAGTGTTGAGCTGTGGGCCCTGCGCAGCCTCCAGACCACGGGAGCTGCACCCTGGGCTCTGCCGACCCTGCCCTCCTGGCACCCTGACCACACAGCCTGCTTCCTCTGCCCCCAGTTTCTGCTCCTCTGGTTTTCTTACCAGCAGATTCCAGCCACTCCCTCCTCGCACAACCCAACAATGACCAAAAGGGAGGTCAATGCCAAAGAACTGTTCCAATCAGTGACAAACTGTGAAATGGCACATGTGGGGTGGTCCTGGGGATCAGGATGCAAGAAGGGTGGCAACTGAACACGTCCCCAGTGGCAATGCCTCACCCTAAAGAGGGACCTGGCCACTCCGAGCAGTGTGTGGTGGTGTGGTGCAGAGCTTGGGGCCAGCAGGCCCAGGCCACCTGGCTCAACCACCATACGTGGGCTCTCAGGGAAGAGCAGGGACTACTGTCTGCTAGGATTATAGATGCATTTCCCAAATGACAGAAACTGAATTTTAAAAGTCTTTTGGCAAATTTGAAGTTTTCACAATAAACTCTCCAAAATGGAAAACCCATATGAATAGAGAACTTTAGCACCATTTTATTCTCAGAATCTCAGAACAGTGCCTGGCACATAGAATGTATACACTCTTTAGACAAATGAATACACCATGGAATAATTCCAAATTTTATACAGTAATGGAAAACCAGGAATTCATATCCCTCAAAAGCACAGAGTACACAGAAGTGTACATCTACCTAGAAAGGTGTGTGCGCACACGTATGTATATAGCAAATTCTACACTCTACAGAATACACTCTAGAACAGGACATTTCAACATGACTTTTGGCCACAAAAGCCATGTTCTGTAACCTGTGCTGTTTTGTGCGGCAGCCACTAGCTTTCCTTCGGGGCTCCTGAGCACTTGAAATGTAACTGGTGCAACCAAGGAACTGAATTTTTTGTTTTATTTAATTTTAATTAATTTAACTGTAAATAGCCAGACAGCCCAGTCCTAGAAAGCAAAACTATTTGCTTTAGCTTCTGTTTTATTTTACCACAAAAATGACAGCAGCATAACTATTTTAACTTTAAAAAAAAAAAAAGCCCCAGATATTTATTCGTATCCCCTCAAGAAACACAAGCTAAGCTTAACCTCATGAAAAACAAAATAAAAAAGTGACACTTGATTTGGCACTCTGAAAGCCATGAAGGACGTCACTGATGATGCAAGGTACGCTTTACAAAGGCGCTCAGAGGAACCCCGAGCTCCCAGCCGTGCCCTGGGGGCTGCCCCGTAAATACCTGTGCTGTGGGCTGTCCGCCCAAAGGGATGGAGCTTGACGGGACGGCAGACACAGCGGTGGTGGGCGGGAACCGGGCTCTTACGTGCATCCCGCCTTGGGCCAAGGCATCGGTGATCATCTTTGAGGACAGAGGGACAACAGACAAGGTGATTGCAACAAAGAAACGCAGTGCACGGGCAGGTGGAGGAGGTGTATGCAGGTTCCACAACAAGGAGCGCCAGGTGAGGGGTTCTTGGGTGGCTGGGGCAGCCTGGAGGAGGGGAGGCTCACAGACACGTTCAAGCCCGCAGCACCTGTAGCACCATCCAGGCATTGGGAATCTGGAAGATTTGCCAGGAATGCTGCTTTGCTGCTTCCAGACCTGTCTATCCTATCGGCCTTTCTCCTTCGCTGGTTGTCCTGAACACACCTCTGAACTGCTGACAGATCAGAATCCTGTGGCCCACAGAGCTGTCAGAGTCAGACCTCGAGGGCCAGGACTGGTGTTTCTGGGAGACCAGGCTCCTGGAGACAGACTTCAAAAGAGTGCAATCCACCAAAGCTTGCTCCCAGAAGAGTCGAAATGTCAACAGTGGATGAGCTCAGGTAAGTTTGCTCACAGCATCTTTCCTTCTCAGCGTCATGTCTCCTAGGGCCCACACCCAAGCCAACCTCATTTCCGCCAGGCCTCTGTGAGGCTGCTGGTCCTGGTATCTACTGAGGGCCTAGTTTTCTTCCTTAACTAAAAACAGGGGAAGGTGGGCAAGAGAAGCCCGGGCCTCCACCTGGTGGGCCTCATCCCTTGTGAGGAACTTCCCTCCGCAGGGATGCGAGGCAGGTCTGTTCTTAAACATGCACAGATGACTGCACAGTCAAGAGCTCCAGCACAAGCCGGGACTATGCCTTTATCAATTTATACTTCTGGAACTATAAAGGCAGCAAGGTGGGCTGAGTACTGTCATGGGTCTGGACTTGGCCACCTCACTCAGGGCTCTGAGTTGGGGGATGGAGCCCCAGTCTGGTTCCTGAAGAACAGGGCCTGCATATGTTCAGAACTAGTACAAACTAGAACAGAACAACATGGCCAGGTTCAAACAGAAAGCAGAACAGACCCACGGAAAAACAAAACATCCAATGGCGGGAAGCTATGGGCCATGAGATCAGGGTGGCACTGCTGGTATTCAGTCCATGTAGCGAGGGGTGCCAGGGACAGGGTTCCAGAGCAGGAGAAAGGCTGTAGGAAGACCTGTAGCACTACACAAGTGTCCCATGCTCACACCCACAGGCAAATGCAGCAGGCACTGCAATCCAGGAGTGACACAGCAGTAGCAGATGCCAACCAGAATCTTGCAATGGCCGTGGAACTGGGGCAGCCCTCAGCCAGACCAGATCTCCCTAAGGGTGGGGATGGGAACTGAGGGTGGCAGGTGAGGTAAGAGTATCCATTTGCATCTAGCTGCTATACTCAGAGGAGCCCATCTGAAAGCATAGCGGCACTTCAAAAGTGATTCTTCCAGAAGGGAGAAAAGCCTACAAATAAGTCAGATGGAATGAGAGGTGCCAACTTTTTTCCAGGAAGAAAAAAATAATAAGGAATGAAAAGCTTAAATCTAATTTGCTGCTGAATGATTTTCTTAAACTGAGAACTCCTGATAAAGAAAGCTCACTTTCTTTTAACGATAAATCGCAATGAAAACACACCAGTGATGTTTACTGGACTGGATGAGCCAGGCAGCCACCAACTAGTAGCTCACTGTCAAGTGACTACATTTCACTACTTCCCAACAGCCAGAAAGGAATTCAAAGGCACTCCAGAACCCTGCCTCCCCTCCCCCCACCACTCCACTGTCGGGCTGCAGGCCTGACTCTCCTGCTAAGGTCACTGTGCAGAAGGGCCCAGAGGGAGGAAAGAGGGGTCCTCCCAGGCCAGCCATGGCTCAATCAGAGAGCAACTGGAAATCAATTGTCACATGCACATCCATAATGGAAGTCTTTGATGACAAATCTTGTAACTCGTAAATTATAGGTAAGTTTTCATACACTAAAAGAAGGGAAGTAAAAAGAAAAGCATAGGGATTGTTTGAAAATGGACACCACTGTGTTCTGGCTTTATAGCAGAGAAAGAGAAGTCTATTGCATCCTAGTAAATACCACTGCATGTGACATCACCATTCTCAGCTGGATGAGTAACTTCAGAACATTGCCAGGCTAAAGTGGGTTTCTTATAAGGGGGAAAAAAAAAAAAAAAGCGAGCCAGGCATACACAGCACAGGACTGATCAATTTTCCTAGACTACTCAATCTCAAGTAGAGAGCCTGGCTACCTATCACCATGGCACCAGCAAGTGCTCAATGGGGCAGGTCTTGGCAGAATTGAGAAACAAGGCTTGGAGGACTTCCTGTTTGGGTCCCCCAATCCCAGCATTTCTTTCATGCAACTGGTGGCATGTCCCTGCAGTGTGCAGCAGCTCACATAAACAAAGTTGCAACATGTGGTCACTGCACCCTGATGTCAAATGTGTGAGCACCACACAGGGAGTTCCAGTCTGCAACTTTGACCTCCTGAGAGATGACTGGCTGACACAATTCGAGGGCCCTCAAAATGACCTCGTAAGTCACTTTTGAGAAGCTCCAGGAACAATCTAGAACTTGGCCATGCATCAAGAGCTGCATAACTAGTGACAGTGAAATTAGAAATAATTTCCAGATCTGAGAATAAAATGGTAATTAAGGACAGCAGGAGCCATTCATAGGGGAATATTACAAAGTAATTCAATGTTGACCACAGGTTTTCTAAGTACAAGAGGGTATTTCACCTCTGTGCCAATGTGGAAGACACTGCATATAAAACCCCATGGACAGTCTGTCCTTTTCTATGTAAGAGAACCAGAAAGGACACCAAACTGTTTCTCCCTCACTGGAATGTTTCTCTTACTTATATTTCCTCCCACTTTCTATCTTTTACAGTTACCACACATTTAAAAAATTTTTGGATCAGAGTACTGTAGCCACGCCTTGTCCACTGTGCCAACGCAGGCTTCCATAGGAAGGTCAGGACAATACAGTGAGGTGGGCTAACCAGCCTCCACGAAACTGTACTGCCTATAACATAGGAAGACCGAGCACTGAGAGAAAACCAGCAGAATGAGAGGCACCCAATCTCAAGGTTTTGTGTCTGGACTTAAAAGCACACCATAGGTGCCACCATACAGTCCTGAGCTTCGAGAGCCTACCAGGCTCCTCTGCCACCAGCGTCAGGGGACCCCACTGCATGGCAGTGCATGGTGGGCAGATGGACAACTGAAGGTGCACTCCTCTTAAGACCAAACCCACTCCAAGATAAACAGAAGTGGTGACCACTCTCCATTTTCCCTAGCTACCAGAGAACCCTGCAATCTTTCCAGTCCCCACCTGAAGAGAAAAGTCCTGAGCTCACTTTAGCTCTACTTGCCATTAACCCATTGAGCTCCACTGGGGAGGAAAGCACGTTAACAATCTAGGTTACTCTAGAGGTGACCATGCCCTTGGCCAAGCTCCCAGGCTAGTTGGATAAGGACCTCCACCAGAAGCCAGGGGTGGAAGAAGCGGTGGGGAGCACCGTACTCTGTGTACAGGCCCAGTGTGGGGCACTGAGCACACACAGCTGCCATCCTGCTTCTGGAACACGTGAGATGCGCATGAAGCTTCAGGTCAGATCTTCCTCAAGCTAGAAGCCTATGGACAGATCAGCAAACGGCCCACACCAGCTGCACGCGTCAACTGTTCTGGCTGCTCACTTTCCAGATAGCAAGAAATGGGTGAAAACAGAAGTTCTCGCTTTCCTACAGTGCTGGACCCGAGGTGCAGGAGTTTCTGTTAAGTGTGATCCTGGGATGGGGGCAGGAGGGTCACAAAGCGGCATCACAACATGGCATCACAACACGGCAAGGGCTGCTGGCTGGATAGTCACTATGTGCCACCACTGAGCCAGCTGTGAACACACACCACGTCCTTTCTCTGCACAGGAGACCAAGAGGAAGGAGCCCCCTGGCAGACCTGAGGACACACCAAGTCACACAGCAGTGGTGGCAGAGACAGATTCCAACCTTGTCACACAGGGCGGTCATCCTCCCCCAACCAAAGACGTGAAGTCCGTGGTGTGCTTTTGCACGAGGACATATCTGAGCTAGCAGGTAACATAAGAATCCTGGGCCCAGGTCACCTAGTTCAGTGACAAGAGAGGCTGTTGGGTCAGCTCAGCAGTCACTGAATGCTTCAGATTCCCTCCATAGGTGCGCTTTCTCCTCACGTGGCTTCCCAGGGGCCTGACCAACATAGTGGAGACCAGGAAGAACCATTATTTAGCCCCCCACTGTTAAATGGTGCCTGACACACAGCACTATGACCGTGATCTGCAGGCTCTCAGGCAAACTAGAAGGGCAGGAACTTGGCTGATGCCCTCAGACGGGGTTGGCACCCAGCAATAGCCTTTCCACATCAACTAGCACATTCTGACTCTAAAGCAAGCGCTCCCTTCTGTGTCAGGACTAACAATACTTCCACCACCTGTGGAGACAGGAAGAATCAAAGCCCCAGACTGGACATCGTTCCTAGCACAAGGGTGAGGTTGGTCTATCAGAAGTCATGGGACCCCCAGGTCTCTAATCTCCAGACACTAGGAAAGCCTAGGTGTGGCCTCCTGCATCCCAGCAACATTCAACAGGCAGAGAATGGGCAGGAGCCAGCTCAGTGACACGGGAGTGGCACATACTTCTCACTGCGCAGCACGGGCGAGCACCAGGACCCTCTCTCCCATGCTCCCGCTGCAGCGCATTCCTGCTCACGGCTCTGGAGCGAGGCGTCCACTGCTGCTCTTGTCCTCCTGCTAGTCTCTAGAGAGCTGCCTTCCACCCCAGTCAGCTCTGTACTCAGATGCTCAAATGGAAACTGAGGCGCTCTCCTCTCCAAAGCACGCTTTCAGTCTCTCAGAGTGATAAGAGAGGAGAGACGATAAAAGATGCCCGAGCCAATGTGGGAATGACATACCCTATGCAGCCAGTGGGATTCCAGATGTGAGTGACCAGAGCAGGCCACCCCAAGGACCCAGGGGGGTGTCACCCAGAGTGCAAGGGAGAGAGGAGTCCGTGCTTCACTAACTCAGCCCCTCATCCACCAGGACCCTTGTTATAGCACTCCATGCACAGGTGGACATGCACCTGCTAGCGACTACAGAAGCCTTCGGCTCCCAAGGCCCTCACCTGGACTCCAGAAGCCACCATCTGGGCAGCCTGAGCTGTCTGCACCGCTGTCTGCTGCTGCACCTGGGGCTGCACCTGCTGCACTTGGGGCTGCACCTGCGGCTGCTGCACCACCATCGGAGCTCGGACCTTGAGGTTGGGAGAGAGAATGCGATTTGGAGGCTCCTGGGGCAGACAGCAGGTACGCACTGCTTCTGTGGGAGCTTTGAAAATTGAGCCTTTCTTGAGATGGAGGATGTGATTTGCATGACTTCACAGGCTATGATGTCACCTTACTGGCTGTCCCAGATCCCACTAGCTCCTCAGGAATGTCCCACACCAGCTTGGCTCTGAGTTGGGATGGCTGAGTCCCACCTCCTCTGACTCTGGCAAGAAGCATCACAGCCTTCCCATTGGGATGATTCCGTACACCCAACACCACCAGCTAATGCTGCATCAAAGCAACAGGTTCCTAAGCCCAGTGCCCAGCCCAGCCCACTCATCTTCTGGGCCCAGCACACTGATGGTCCATGAGGGTGCCACTCAGAGCCCCAAATCCTGCAAGGAAACCAGGGCTGGGCCAGCAGCGGGCACAGCTGGAAAGGCAGGCTTAGGCAACAGAGCCATGGAGGCAAAACAGGGCAACCGTGGGACCAGCGGGTGAAGAAACCTCCAGGAGGATAAGACAGGTCTGAACCAGACCCAGACAGGCAACTTGCCCTTAGATATCTCCAAGCTGCCAGACCCCACCCCAACAGGGCACACCCCACCAAGGGACACACAGGGTTCAGGTTCCCATGTCCCAGTGGCTAGGCAGTGGGCTGGCTCCCAGGTGACAGGTGAGTGACCCTATCACTCCTCATAACTCTCCCAGCTTGCCTATTCTGTAGGGCCTCCTATTCACTCCTACACTCAGCTTAGGTGTAGACCCTGTCCCCCACTCAATAAATCACAAATAGAAAAGGCCACAAAAACCAAGTGAGCTGATGGGATGTTCAAATGGGCCCTTGACGCAGCTACCTCCACCTTGGTGGCAATACTCTGTACTCTGTGTAAATGTCACTGACTGGATTTGCTTTGCAAAGAGATGCACAATGAGACTGAAAATAGCAGTATTTAATATTAATTTCCCCCTCAAAAATATGGTAATGACAGGGCTAAAAGACCTTTGCTTAGCAAACCACTGAGGACACCCAGTGGAGCCCACATATTCCCCACATGGTGGGAATAGGTGTGGTGCTTGTCAATCTAATCATCTACAAGTTCAAAGTGCCCACAGACACTGCTGAAATCGGCCACGCTGCCTGGAAGATGAACTGCTGTCCCAACAGCAGTGGCTCCCCATATAAGGTGCAGAAGCAGATCTCGGAACGCACGATCCCTCGCTGAGCCTTGCTATGGAGCTGGACACGGGGCCAGCATGAGGAAGAGCCGTCTGAGTCTCAGTTCTTAAAGAAAAGGACATGCTGCTGGTAACCAAAGAGCCTGAGACCGCTGCTGACAGAGACACCAGCCACATGCACCACCACGAGAAGAGCTGTACACGCCGACATGGGCTGCAGGTACTCACAAATTTCAGCTGCTGTTGGGCATACAACATCTGTCCAGGGAGGGCTTGAGCCTGTGACACCAAAGGCTGGGACTGGGACTGTGGTGGGAGTTGCGATGGTTGGTTCTGAGCAACTGGTGGCTGCTGGGCCTGTGGTGGCGGCTGATGGTGCTGTGGGTGATGCATCTGCTGCAGCTGCTGCGGCAGGGCCTGTGAGGGTGGGGGCTGCGGCTGCTGCATTGGGGGCTGCTGTATGGGAGGCTGGGCCTGCAAAGTCTGCTGCTGCTGCTGTTGCAGCTGTAGCTGTGCCATCCGCTGTAGCTGCTGCTGCTGCTGCTGTATCTAGGGACACAATGAGCAGCACTCAGTTACCACCCATCAGCCTCTGGAGTGCTGGCTCCTCCCTGTGCCAGTCCTGGCCCCAGGTAGCCCAGGTGGGCAACAGCACACAGCCTTCAAGGAGGCCTGCCTGGGCTCGCCCCTCGCATGGGGAGGGGGAGCACCTCCAACAGAAGGGCTCTGGGCCCCCAAGGCCAATGCCTGCTGTCTTCCTGACATACCAAGTGTGTGCCTGTGCCCTGGCCACCAGAGGCTGGTCCAACCCTAGGATAGGTCAAGAATATTATCTAGAAGGTCTAGTAAGGGGTGACAAAGAATAGGTGCAGCCACATAGAGATAGCAGCTCAGGTAACTACAGATTTCTGAAGCCTCTCCAATAACACTTGTTTTGTCCCCATAATGGTCAGCAATACGAGCCTCACAATGATGGCCAGTGCCTGCTTTTCAGAACGAGGAGGAAAAGTGGGGCTGAAGCTTCACTGTCACCTCTGGGAGAGGAGCCACCAAGATCCAGCCAATACCTGGAGCGAGTGGGAAAGTGGAGAGGCTCCCTCAGGACCTCTGTCCCTCAACCAAGACCTACCAGAAGAACAGATGCTTAACACATCTAGATTCTGACTTTAAGCCATGGGAGGACAACGGCTTCTGAGAGGCAGGGCTTCTGATGTGATGTCACCATTCCCTTACAGAACACTAGCTGGCAGTTGATTAACACTACATCCAGACACCAACACAGAGGGAAAAAGACGAGGGGCGCAAGTCCTCAAAAGAAACGCACCCACAGGACAGTTTGAGCATTCCCAGGTCCCGGAGGGCTTGTCTCACTTCTTCCTTCAGTTAACTCCTGTATGAACTGCTTATAGCTCCACAGCACACGGCAGACTCGTGGCCAGATACCCCAGGTCTGGCTGAGAGGACCTCCTAGTGCAATCGTAGCACCTTCCTGACAAGTCAGGACCTGTTTCTCTAGCCTGTCCCAGACTTTTCGGGAAGCCCACAGAGGAGGGAGGCACCATGCATGTCAGGAGGATCCTTGGCTGGCTTTGGTTCTCTGGGCCTCTGGGTCCCTGCACCCAGCATCGTGGCTGGCACATGTCCAGGGCTCAAGGACTATAGGAGGGAGGCTGAGTGCGGGAACAGGGGAACCTGGTACCTGTTGCTGGTTTTGATGATGCAATTTAATCAGGTGCTGCTGCTGCTGCTGCTGTTGCTGGAGCTGCTGCTGCTGCTGTTGCACCACTGCCTGGAACTGTTGCTGCATGGCATTCTGCTGAGCTTGGAACTGCTGCTGTTGCTGTTGCTGCTGCTGCTGCAGTGCTGCCTGCTGCTGCTGGAACTGCTGCTGTTGCTGCTGCTGCTGCTGCTGCAGTGCCACCTGTTGGAGCTGCAGCTGGGCTGGAGAGGAGACCAGAGTTAGGCCCATGCCGCCTCAAGGGCCACCCTGTCTCTAAGCCTCCACGGGGCTGTACAGGGAAGCAACAGCAAGCAAAGGCTCCACTGCCACCATTGCTGGGCAGACAGGAAGCTCTCAGGCAGAGTCCCCAGCCTGAGCCACTGCAGGAATCTGAACACTCCATTTACTAGAGACAGACAGACAGGATAAGAAGTAGCATTTGTGTTGATTATGGAACTTACTATTATGAGTTACTCTATAATATCCAAAGGGAAAAAAGAAGGGCCAACTAAGTCTTTTGGATGGACAAGAAGCTCAGCCTCTGGCAACCATTAATCTACTTTCTTTCTCTATGGATCTATTGTGGACATTTTATATAAATGGCATTAGACATTATGTGCTCCTTTGTGATTGGCTTCCTTCACTTAGCATAATATTTACAAAATTCACCCATGCTGTAGCATGTATGAGCTTTATTTGTATTATTTTTAGTGCCAAATAATATTCCACTATATGGATTTCCTACATTTTGTTTATCCATTTTATCCAGCTGATAGACACTTGGGTTGTTTTTGCTGTTTGGTTATTATGAATACTGCTGATATAAACAGTCACAAGATTTTCTGTGGTGAGGTTCCTTTTGGAATGATGAAAATGTGGTGATGGCCATACTAAAAATCCCCGAACAGTATGCACTTTAAATGGGTGACTTGGGGCTGGCTGGAGAGCACGATGCTGATAACACCAAGATTAAGGGTTCAGATTTCTCTACCTGTAATGGCCAGCCACCAAAACAAAAAATAAACAAACAAATAAATAAATGGGTGAACTGTAGGCTAATGAGAATTATATCTGAATAAAGATATTAATTAATTAATTAATTAATTTATTTATTTATTTATTTTTGTCTTTTTGTCTTTTTTCGTGACCGGCAACGGATCGCAACCCTCAGTGTCGCGCCCGTACCGGACCGGGACCGGCAACGGGATCGCAACCCTCGGTGTTGCCCCCGCTCCACGCTCAGCCAGTGAGCGGCCAGTCTGTATGTGGGATCCGAACCCTCGGCGGGAGTGCTGCCGCGCTTCCCAAGTGGCGCACTGTAGCAGCGTGCCACTGGGCCGGCCCGATATTTATTAAAAAAAAGAAATAACACAGAGAAATTCTTTGTACACCTTGCCCATTTCCCCCCAAACGGTAACATTCTGTAAAATTACAACATATCACAACCGGAATTTGTGCTCCTCTATGTGCATGTGTATACTAATTTCAATACAATTTTATCACCTGGGTAGGTTCAGCCACCATAATAGTCAAGACACTGAACAATTCCAGCACCTCAGTGATCTCCCATGTTGCCACCTTCCTTCAGCAACCTCACCCCTCAAGCCCTGGCAACCACTGTGGTGTCCTCCATTTCTAAAATTTTGTCATTTCTAAAATATTATAGAGACTTTCGATTGAAATGGCAAAATAGTCCCCAGCATCACCCTCTCCCACAATCAACCAATTTACAACTATTAAAAAGCAAAGACTGCCAAGCTGGGGCTGCTAGAGCTCAGGGGAAGAGGAGAGACCTACAGAGTTCATGAAGGCGGGAGAAGCCATGATGAGAGAAAGAAAGGAAAGCTTCAAACGTTTCGAGCCTGACCACTTCAAGGCTGGCCCTGGTGAGCACACGGAGCAAGAGCTGGCAAAAGCTGCTGCTGTGCCCTTTGTATGAAGTTGCTTGGAGGCTGCAGGGGACAGGAGGGCTTAGGTGTCCTTCTGGTCAGCAAGACCACAGACGGGGTTCCTGTGGACCCACATACAAGTGAGGGGCAACAGACAATGGAAAAAAGGATCCATTCAGAGGCCAGTGAGTCACTGCAAGGGACCAACGCATGACCCATCCCACAGGAAGTGTTTGGAATGTGGGGGGTAGGGGAGATGGGCCCACTGGGGGAACACTGGGACACAGCATGGACAGCTGATCTGTCCTCCAATCAGTACAAGCCCACTCAGTGGAGACTGGTCAGGAATATAGGAGTGCAGGGTGTAGTTTGCTGAAAAGACTCAGGCCCAGACCAGAGTTTCCATGCAACCCAGGTGTACCGGACCTCACAAGACCCAAAAGTACTTGCAAGGTCAACAACTGAAATCTGTGCTGCACAAAAGCCTTCCCCAGAGAATCAGCAGCAAAGCAGCAATTTAGTTCAACAACAGGGCTCAAGTGCTGTTCCCCACAGGAAGTTCCCTCGTTTTAGAAGCAAAGAATAACAAATTAGTTCCAGTGCAGAATTTAAGTGCTGGGAATAGCGAATAATTCAACACAGAACTGAAAGAAAAAACAAAAAACCCCACAGATCAAAGTTTTGATATTAACCAATAAAGGTCTAATGCTACTAAAGAACAACTATAAAACCTAGGACTAGAAGCCCCCCGGGCTCCCAAGCTAGGGTGGGGGAACCGAGGGCCTCAGCCATGCCACCCCAATGTCCACATCCAGCCCAGTGATGATGACAGAAGCTGATGCCAGAAATGCCCCTGGGCTCCCAAGCAGGGTGGTGGGGGCTGAGGGCCTCAGTCACACCCCTGACATCTACATCCCGCTCAGAGATGACCACCAAGCTGCTGCCAGAAGTGCCCCAGGCTCCTGGGGTGGAGATGGGGGTGCTGAGGGCCTCAGCCATGCCCCGCCTGAAGTCTGTATCCAGCCCAGCCATGACTGAGCCGCTGGAAGCCCCCTGGACTCCCCTGTCAGAATGAAGGAGGTGCTATGGACCTCGACCACACCCCCCTTTCCTCCTCCTACCCCTCTATCCCCCACCCCTTTCCCATGTTCCCCCCAACTGCTCCACAACATCTTAGAATATAATAAAATAATAATAATAATAATAAACAAACAAACCAATAACCAAAAATGTTATATATAAGTAGAACCATATGGTATAAACCCTGTTAGGATTGGCTTTATTTTTTTCTTTTGTAAAAAGATGACTGGTAAGGGGATCTTAACCCTTGACTTGGTATTGTCAGTACCACACTCTCCCAAGTGAGCCATGGGTTGGCCCAGGATTGGCTTTCTTTATTCAGCATAATTCTCTGAAGATCACCTAGGCTGTAGTGATAGCAATAAGTTCTTTCCTTTTATTGCCAAGTAGTATTCCATGGTATGGATATCTCAGTTTGTTTAATGATTCACATGATGAAGGACATCTGGGGTGATTGCAGATTTGGAATACTACAAATAAAGCTGCTACAAACATTTGTGCATAGGTTTTTATGTGAATGAAGTTTTCATTTCTCTGGGATAAATGCCCAAGAGTGTGATTGCTGAGTCGCATGTTCAGTTTTTTTAAATAGCTGTGCCATTTTACATTCCCAGCAGCAATATATGAGCGATTCAGTTTCTCCGTCACTAGCATCTGATGTTGTCAATATTTATTTTAGCCATCCTGATAGGTGTAAGAATTTTTAAATTTATCTTTTTGTTACAGACTTCTAACTGTGACATTCAGAAAACACATATATGACAATACTTTTGAAATTGTTGAGGTTTGCTTTATGGATTATTTTTGTAAACCTATTTGTTCCATCATGTGCTTCAATGAAGTCATTTGTCACATTGTTCAAATCTTCTCTAAATGTATCAGTTTTTGTCCCCTTAACTATCAATAAGGAAGACAATTGAGGTAATTGCCCAATAAATCTTTGCTCATCATGAATCTTTCTGCATCTAGTATTGTAGGTGTATGCCTGAAAAGGATAATTAAATGTTCCTTTCATTTCCATTTAGCAGGAAAAGTTTAGTCCATTCCCATTTATTACGATTACTTATTTTTCAACTTATTTCTATTTGTCTTCCCTTTTCTTTTTTTGTATTTTATTTTTCTTATCTTCCCTTTTCTAAGAGTCTTTTTGTCCTTTTTTGAATTGCATTTTGTTGGATGGCTGGATGGGATTTTATATGTTTGGATCTTCGTTTGTTCGTTGGTTTTTTCCTTATTCCATTTTTTACTATTGGTTTGAAATTTATAAATTATTTCTATTCTTTTAGCAATTATTTTCCAATTTTATGATACATATTTAACTTAAAGCTTATAAATATCTTAACCTCTTTCCCAAATTTAATTATTTTTTAATGTAGGTTTTACATGTACATGATAGACCTGGTATTCATGATATAGCTCTCTCCTGACCTCCATGGGTTTCATTTCTTGTTCATCTTCTCAATCCTTCACAGGAGACATTTCTGTTATGAGGCAGGATAGAGTAGTAGCTAGGGATGTGGCTCCTGAGGTAGACTGCCTGGACTCAAATCCAACTTTTACTGCTCATTGCCTCAGTTTCCTCTTCTGTTAGAAAAGAGGCAATAACAGTACCTACCCACATGGACTAAGAATTGAATAATGTATTGTAACAATTCAAAATAGTGCTTGAAATGTGGCAAGTCTGTATGGAGGCTGGAGAGTTATTATTTTACAGAGGCAATTTTTGTTTACACCAAGGATTCTTATCCTTGTCACTTCTGCCACTTTGGCCCAGATAATTCTATATTGTGAGGGGCTGTCCTGTACTTGTAAGATGTTTAGCAGCATCTCTGGCCTCTACCCATTATTACATGCCAATAGCACACTCACAATTGTGACACCCAAAAATGTCTCCAGACATTGTCAAATGTCCCCAATGGTGCAAATGACCAAGGGGTGAGAATCAGTGGTTTAGATTTACACATATTTACTATCTTCTATGTTCAACAGTTCTTCTCCCATTTTATAGCCCGCATCTCAAAAGGATGGTCTGAGAGGGAAAAGGAAATGGTGAGCAAATAAAAGAATATGTCCTTTAGAAAACCTTTTAGTGATGATCTCTTAGGCTTTATCTGTAACTGTCTTGCTTCCCCTAGTCCTTCAGAGTGTTGCTGGTACACAGCTGTGACTGGCAGCTCTATTCTCAATGCTTCAACAACATTTTACTATTGTTCTGACTCCATTGCTGAGTCTACTTATTGCTCCTTTCCAGAAACTGGTTGTTTCTCAGATACTCTTCTGGCCTTTGGTGCTCTGCAGTTTCACAGCAGTACATAAAAGGAGATGCCCTTTAATTAACTTGCTTGGAATCAGCTGAGTTTTCTCAGCCATTACCTCCTCACATACTGTTTTCCTCCCTTTCTCTCCATGTGGCCCTTTTGGGGCTTTGATTGGATGCTGGTCAGACTTCCTGATCTTATCAGCAGTGTTTCTTACCCTTGCTTTCCTATTTTCTATGTCTTCTCTGCTACATTCTAGGTAGTTTCTTCAAATGTATCTTCTAGTTCACAAATTCTTTCTTTAGCTCTATCTACTATGCTACTTCCTCATCCACACTTTCCTTCTTTCAATAAATATATTTATTTCTACAAGTTCCATTTGTTTCCTTTTCAAATCTGGTTAGTCGCTTCTGATAGTGCTTTTTCATCTGGAATTCTATCCTTTATTTCTTTACACACATTGAGCCTGCATCCCATATCTAACAATTATTTGTTTATTGTCTCTGTTCTCCCACATAGGGTCTCTGCTTCCCTTCATGCCTGGTAATCTTTGACTGTGTGCTCACTACTTCCCCTTAATCTGTGCAATTCTTACCTAGCCTAAACTGGGGGTGTTTTCCTCCAATCTGCACCTGCTTCTTGGGGAACAGAGGACAGGGAGTCTGCCAAAGGCCCCAGCATAAATTCTGGCTAGATGGCTTGCCTTCGCCCATCCTGCAGCAGGCCAAGGCAAAGAGCACCCCCTACCTTTTGAAGCCAGCAATCCAAAGTGCGCCCTTAACTTTTAGTTACCCTTTTGGATAACCAAAAGGTGGAGGGATCCTCAGCATGCAGTCTGTCATACAGCTGGCAGTAGGAGTTATTTTCAAAGTCTTAATTAAGTCTCACTTCCAACTCTATACCAGAGCTCCCAGCCATATGCACAGTCAGCAGTTTCAGCATTTTCTGACTAACCCAGGTCACCTGAAAGACCATCACAGCATCCTCTGGCCTGTCCTTTGAGAGCCTCTGGCAAAACCTGTGACCCAGGCTATGCCCTCTTTGAGGCACTGAAGACCTGAATTGGTCTTAATTATGCAGTGGTGTGTGGAGAAGGTGTAAGGAAGGGATATCAAATGCTCATTGGGCAATATGACCTATATCAGGAAGACCAGGGCGGCAAGGGGTCAAGGGCAGGGAGGGGAGTGTCTCTGAAAGGTGTAGCAGCAGGATGCAGAGATAGAGAACCACTTCAACTTTCAAGTTGTACCACACAGCAGACCAGGTCCTTTGGAAGCTGAAAACAGGATGTGGGCCAAGTTCAGACTGGGGAGGGTGTGGGCAGGATACCAAAGCCTCACCACCAAACTTTTGACAGATAACTGCTTTGAGACAAAGTCTTAGGAGTGGGATTACAAGGCAAATCATGTGAGCATTTCAGATTCATACATTTAAAAACTATTTCTTATAAAATATAAGCTTATGATAAAAAGAAATTCAACCAGTACACAAGAGTATAATGTCAAAAGGATTCAGAGCTGGCACTTCTGTGTCCTCCCATAAACCCACCCTGTGTGTGTATCAGGTATGTTGCTAAGAAGGGAGAGGAGACAGGAGCCCAGGGCGAAGAACCAGATGGAGATTGTTTTAGAACGAAGAATCAGAATGTGGTAAGAGTTAGATGGCAAGAAGTAAGAGCAGAGTGAAGATATGAAGGGGATGGGAATGGAGGAAGGTTCCAAAGCAGCAGTGGATGGGAATGAGGATGCCGGTAGCCTGTGAGAAGAGAAATCCTGACACAGGACGGGAGACATAAGGGTGAAGGGGGCACAGGATCAGGCAGTGGTTTCCATCCCAGCTCAGGTCTTGCCTTGGGGTGTGACTCAAGTTCTCAGCTGTGACTGCCTCACTGACAAAGCAGGGGTGGCCACCCTGTCCTCTTCATGGGGCTATTGTGAGGGATGTGTGACAAAAATACACCAAAAGACCAAAACCTGTACACAGATGTCCACAGCAGCTTTACTTGTAATAACCAAAACCCGGAAACAACCCAGATGTCCTTCAAGGGTGAAAGGATAAGCAAACTGTGGAATGCCCATTCCATGCAATGCTACTCAGCAGTGAAAAGGAATGAATTCCTGATACAACATGGATGGATCTCACGGCACCATGCCAAGTAATAAGGCCCATCTCGAAAAGTCACACATTGTATGATTCTGTTTATGGAACATTTACAGTGACACAATTATAGAGATGAAGAACAGATTCTTGTTGCCATGGCTTAGGGTTGGAGAGAGGGTGTGACTTTAATACATAATACAAAAGAGTTTGCTGGTGGTGATGAAACAATCCCTATATGCTGATTGTGGTGATGGTTACCTGATCCTACACGTACTAAAATCTCATAGAACTACACTTACACATATGCACATGCCCAAAAATTCATACAAAAACTGATGAAGTGTAAATGATGTCTCTACCTGAGTGACAGTATTGCCCCAATATTAATTTCTTGGTTCTGACAACGTACTAAGTAAGATATCTTTGGGAGCAGCTGGGTGAAGGACACATGGGAACTCTCTGTGCTATTCTATAACTTCTTGTGACACTTACACTACCTCAGAAATAACAAATTACAGAAACGGGAAAAAAAGTACTGAAGCACTTTGCAGTGGGCACAGCATATTCCAATTACCGAATAAGAGTTTATGGGAATCAAAGGTACATCAAGACAGGCCCTGGAAAGAAGATGAAGAAGGTTCTTTGCTTCCCCTTGAGAGCAGCTCTGCTCCACCTGGAACACATGCCCACGGCCCTCTCCTGGCCAGGGAAGCTGTGTGGAGGGGACAAGGGGCTGTGTCTGCACACAGAGGACAAAGCACCTCCTTCAAAGAAGGGGAGGCACACAGAGACACACAGAGGACACACAGGAAGGGGAGCTTGATGAAGAAGTGGCTGCAAGCCACAACTAGGACTGAGCAAGGGACAAGAACAGCACTAGAAAAGACAGCTTCCAACTGGGGGCAGACCATGGGGGTCATGGGGCGCTGACACAGCACTGCTTCACGGCTGAGACCTCCCTGAAACATGCTGTTTCTATATCAGTGACAACACACAACCCCCTGGATGGAGTCACAGGTCATCCCCAAACTCCTATGAGTCCTCTCCTCCTGTCCGGGGCTAGGAGGGTCTGGTATCACTTAATCCTCCTGGTAGCTCAAAGGCGGCTTGGAGCTTTTACTTTCCATACACAACAAGGATAAAAAGAGCTATTTGGAGCTTCTCCATGCTTTTCTCAATACCACTGTAAGCAAAGAAATAAAATGTGTTGTCGCCTCTGAGGAAAGTGGCACATTCTCCAGGATGTATGATACTCACTCTGCGGAGCTGCCGAAGACACAACAGCCATGCCGTGAGGCGCCATCCCCGAGGTCCCAGGGGGAGGCTGCCCCGAGAGGGGCATTGGCTGTCCCATGGCACCAAGGCCACCCATCCCACCCAGGGACTGTCCTGGGCCTCGAGGAGGCATGCTGATTCCGGCTGCTCCTGTGGCAGGTCCACCAGTGAGGCTCTGCAGTGCATTCATAGGATCTGTGGAAACACAAGGACACAATGTCTCAGGAATATGCCCACTGAACTGGGAGAGGCTCAAAAGGTGTGAGGCTCACAGAACACAGACCTCCTCCCACCTACAGGCTCAACCCTCCCAAATGCCAGGGGCAAGGACACCAGGTGTTGTCAGTCACTGCTCCTGGGATGTGAGCCCCTCGAAAGCAAGGAGCATGCCCCACACTCCTAGCCTGGCCTGTGCCAAGGTCCTTATGTTGAGGGACAAACGACCCCCTGATGCCTGAAGGTGAAGTGAAGACAGCTTAAGGCCATGAGCGTAGGTAGTGCCCCCTTCCCCTTCTCAGCTGTCTAGGCTTTTCGCTGTAAGCCCACAGCTGGAACTCCAGAGACAATGAAGTATGGTGGCCCTTCTATATAGCAAGCGGGAGTGTGGTGGCCACATCAGAGGAATCAGAGGCAGCCAGATGGATGCTGTCCCAGGGAGGGCACAAATCTGCTGACACTTCAGAACTTCATCTCTGCTGCCAAAACCAGCTAAGGGATGCAGGGGGCTCCACAGAGCACTGAGGGACAAGGCAATGCTCACCAAGCCTGCCAGGTCAGCAGACTCAGCTCAGTAAGCAATGATGCCATGACCAAGGACGAAGAGTCCATTGCCATTGTCACAGGAGTGTGGATTCATGGCAAAAAGCTACCTGCAAACAGGTGTGGTCTGGCAGGATCACCTTGCCACAGAGCTAGGTGGTACTCAAGGGACCTATGCTCCAATGCTAAGGTGCCCAGCTGTTCTCCTGGCCCCCAGATCTTGACCCCACCTGGCCCTGGTTGGCTAACATCCTTGCACTAGTTAAGGTGGGGCCAACCCGGGCAGGGGCAGCTGGCATGGCTGAGGCAAGCATGGGCACCCCAGTATTCACAGCTCTGCTGCCCAGGGTGGAACAAACAGCCATATGGTCTGTGATGCCAGCTCTCTCTCTTCCTGACAGGCGGGAGGTATGTTGGCTAGCTTAGACTGGCTAAACTCCTTCACTGGCAGCTTAGTCAGCAGATACCAGGGCTGAACTGACAGGATTCCCCTTATGGGATAAGACATGAATTAAAAAAAATAAAGATTTCTGAACTTACAAAGAAACTCTGTTCACTTAAGAAAGTGAATCCATTTATTCTAAGAAATGCTGCTACAGATTATTATACTGAATATACCATAATAGTTCTCTCCCAGAGAGCTCAAAAGTTTTAGATAATATCTTAGTAACTTTTTGAGTTTTCATAATCATTTTGCTGGGGAAAAACAGTATTTGAGCGAAACAGGATGGGGCGGCACTGTCAAACTTCAGTCTGCAGGAAGGCGAAGGGCGCAGGTGAGGGTGGGCAGGGCTTGTCAGCCTTCTCCCTGCCAGAGTTCTTCTTTCTGTGAACATTTGCCTCTGGTGACAGGATAACCCAGGCACACAAAGCATGCAGTATTTCATTCCTGCTGCCCAAATCTGAGGCTGGGAAAAAATTTAATTCAAAAAGAAAAATTCTTACCACTGACAGAAGCTTGAGATTTCTTATTATCTACATAGAAACACAAACAAAAAAACAAAGTAAATAATTTCATATAACCACAGATTTCCATGGGTAAATCAGTTTTGGAGGCATTTGACCAGAGATTATTTGCAACTGACCCTGCCTGGAAAGGAAACAGAACAGACCTAAGTGCTTCAAACCTTAACCTGCAAGGAGCTCCTGGTACTCCTGGCAGCCTGGGGAGGGGGTGACCTCTCCTGACAGTGCTGAATATGTAGGGGGCCTGTGGGCAGAGGGCACAGAACCTCCTGGGCCAACTTGGGGAACTGACCCCAAACCTGAGGCAGGCTGGGGTGGGGTCTGGCCTGCTCAGACTTTTCTTTCTTCCAGGTTCAGGGTCTCAGCTCAGCCCCGAGCAACAAGTAAAAAGAGCTACAGGAACCCACGATGCACCTAGAATTTGATGCTGAGAACTCGAGGACACCTCCATTTTCAGCCTACTCTGTGAGGTAGTATCTCTACTTAGGTAAGGAAACTGAGGCTGGCTAGAAGCCAGGTCTAGCTGGCCTCAGCACCTAGTAGAGACGGCCTCAACAGACAGAGCCTCCTGCTTGGCTCCTGCCTCATGAGCCCATGAGACCCACAGGACTGTATGCCCCTCCGAGCCATTGTTCCGACAAGCAGAGCACAGGGAGTCCTCGCCAGGATGAAGAGGCCACTCCTTCCCCAGGCTCCTGGTTCCTTCTCTTCTCCTATATTTCCCAGGACCCTCCCAACACTGCAAAGAGAGCCCCAGTGAAGGTCACTTGCTGGCCATTCTGGTGAAGTTAGTGTGGAAAGAAGCAAAACCTACTGGGTTCTTAATGTCTCCCTTTGCCCTGAGTGATGGCACTGAAGCTGCAGCTACCTCTATAACCCATGTTATGACTATCGTTAAACTATGGGGAACAGAGACAAGATTTGCCAGATCCATGCTTCAAGGACATGTCAAGAGGAACTCATCTCCAGTGGTTACACAACCATGGTGGGTAGGAGGTTCTATCGGCTGAAACCAGAGGATCCCCAGCACCAGTTTCCCTTACAGGCTGTGGCCATCCAGGAACACTCAGTGTCTACATGCTTCCATGTAACTCACGAAAGCACTAAGACCCCTGGCCCCAGGATGCAATGACAACTTGCTTCTGTAGAGTCAGGGCTACTGCCTGGCCTTGCTGACAGAACCACAGCGGGGCACTCCAATCAGAGAAGGCACAACATGAAGTGGACCTTCACCAGGGCAGGAAGCCAGGGGTGGGGACTTAGAAAATCTACCTCAGAAGCTTCCAGTCTGGTGTGAACACACATTTAGGTCAGGCCTCAATGGGCCAATAAAACCAGCTATGAGGGAAGAAAGTTTCTGTTCCAGGGTAAACTGCTTACTTAAGAACTGCTCAGAGGTAAAAGCAATAGTCCTGTAGAAAAGGAAATTAAATGGAAAAATGAAAATCTCAGTTCAGTTTAGACCACTTTGAGGCCAACATTTCCTTTACGCCAGAATCAGCATTTTTGAGGCCCAAGCTCTGGCAGGACGGGAAATCCATAGTCAAATGCAATGCAGTGAAGAACTTTCCAGAAGCAGGCGAGTTGACAAAGACATTCTCACTCAGGCCAGAAGGCTCCTACACTAAGGCAGTGACAGAGCTGGCCCCTCACAGAGATCACAACCACCCAGAAATGCATAATCTTACTTACGAATGTCTCGAAAATGGATAATGAGCCTGGCCACGAGAGAAAGGTATTCGTCCTAAAAGTAAAAACAGGAAGCAGTTTAATCCCAGCTGGAGAGGTACAGCTGTGTGACCCCCTTGCCACCGCCTCTCGCTGCCTGGCCACAGCTGAGGCTCTTCCTGAGAGGCCACTGGACTCTGAGGCCGACTTGGGTAGCTGCGGACGCCTGGCCCTGGCTCAGCCTCCTCTGGAATCCGTCTGTCAGAGGAGAGCTGTCTCAGCTCTGTGTGCCAATAAAAGGCACAAAGAAACAAAGAAACAAGGTGGGTGCAGAGAGCCTTCAAACTGCTGCTCGTCCTCCCTGAGAGCCCCCAGCTGAAAGAGCCCGAGCTCCTTTTCACAGAGGGCAAGGAGCTGCCTGAAGTCACAAGGCCTTTGCACTGTTTGTACAGAAGTGCTTTCGCTTTTAATGCGCAGCTTGTTGCTGCCTTTTACTGCTGACTTGGTATCGGCATGCAAATCTGGATGGTGCGCCCCTGGCTGTGCTTTCTGGGAATCTGTGTTCATCTGATTTTACTGCACAGACAAGGGAGGGAGTGCAGAGACACTCAAAGATTGCAGGTGAAGGCGACTCCTGCTGAAGCCCTTTGTCCAGGCTGCCATGTTTCTGCAAATTCCCAGCAGGGCCTGCCTTCCACTGACTATCCTCTTTGCAGGGCCACTCACTCCTAGATATTCCAAGGAAATCACTATTGTAAGTTTGTCCTGTGACCAATGAAGGGATGTCTGAGCTAAAATCTTACTTCAGAGAAGCATCTTTCCCTTCCACCGAGATACCCATCCTTCAGGCATGGCAGTCTGGAGAGGGAAAAGCTCTCGCTCTCTGCCCTGCTCACACTACCTTCCTCTTAAGTCACCATGGTACTGAGAGTCTACTAGACAGCAGACTGACAAGACAGGAGGGGACAGGGAGAGAAAATGAAAAGTGGTCTCAAATGAGTGTAAAAACATAAAGACACTTTCTAAATCCTTATTATCCCCTTTTTTCTCAGCTAGGGTATCGGCACAGGATAACATGAAGGGGATGGGCCGGCCTGTGGCTCACTCGGTAGAGTGCGGTGTTGATAACACCAAGGCCATGGGTTCGGATCCCATATAGGGATGGCCGGTTCGCTCACTGGCTGAGCGTGGTGCTGATAACATGAAGGGGAAAGGCCCAGCAGAGGAGAATCTGGGAAGAACTGCCACCAAGGGGGCAGGGTCAACAGAAAGAGGGACAGTGAGGCACTGCTGGAGCAAGGGGACACTGAGGAGGTTCTATCAACACTCCCGACTGCCCCGTCAAATTCTGGTAGGAAAGACAATGTGCTGGGGATGAAGGGGTCCCCCCTAGTCAGTCACCCACCAAGGCCTGGTCATTGAAGGACAGTGGCATGGTGAGTGGGGAACAATGGAAGTGTGGGGGCCAATGAAGCTTGAGAACAGAGACGAGGTGACCAAGCACTGGGAAAAGAGGGCCTGGGAGCAGCCAGGACAACACCTGACATCTTCCTTCAGGCCCTGGATTATCCTTGAAGTCCGTGACACTTTAAAAGAATTTGGGCCGGCCCGGTGGCGCGCTGCGTTAGTGCGCCGCTTGGGAAGCGCGGCGGCGCTCCCGCCGAGGGTTCGGATCCCACATATAGACCGGTTCCCGCTCACTGGCTGAGCGAGGTGCGGGAGCAACGCCGAGGGTTGCGATCCCGTTGCCGGTCCCGGTCTGGTACGGGGGCGACACTGAGGGTTGCAATCCGTTGCCGGACACGGAAAAAAA